TGGAATTAGTGTAAAACCTGTGTAATGCCTTCGTGCCTATTATTAGCTCGATACTAAAACTGTTCACTTTGTGTTTGTATTCTTGACTTAGTTTTGTATTGCTGACTTGGCTTTTGTAAGAAAAACCGGTACAAATACGGTTTGTGACAGCCAACCGGCGACAAACGACAGTTCTACGAACTGCGAACATTGGCCATACATTTGTAGCAGAGGGACCCGACAACACCTCCGTAATTGGTGTGACGTTTCCGGCTCTTATCAATACGTACTTCAAGTTTGCGTCACCAAACCGATTGTGTAAGGTCGTGTGTGTTTGTGTTTTATAAGCTATGTTACATGTTCTGTTATTTTCATTAATTATTGGCAATTTTCCTCATCAGGATATTTATTGCATTTATCGGAGATAAACTAAGTGGGGGTTACTCAGCCCCTAGACCGCACTACTCGTCGTGCTCAATACATATATCGTAACCGTGCTATTTAACTATAAAATATTCAGGTGGACTCTAGATCTCACCAGCTAGTGGTCCATGGTGTGTCCTAACTGGAAGGAGTAGTTAATAACTCTCGCCTGTTCTTCTGCTGCAAGCGGGGTTACTTCGTTTTAGTCATCGTACAACACGTTCCAGAATCGTTCTCCTTCACGTTGAAAAAGAGATAATCGTTGCTATGTATGTTAGCTCAGTTCTTCAATTTCAAAAAAAAAATTGACGTTGTTTCGATCGCCAAAACGCTCCAATTGATGGTATTGAGTAGATTTTCAACACGCCGGTGCACGAGCGCATCGACAGGATATTGAGATCGCCGTGCTCCATCTCTAGCAAGACACTTGGGCTTGGTTGTGGGGTGACCAGTACACTTCATTGCCGGTAGGCTGTGGGTCATAACAGCGACTGCAGGGCTACCCACTCGCTATAAGGAGAATCATGCGTACGGACTTAGCCATCTAGTTTGTTAGAACACTTTACAATCGCACATGATCTTTTGGTGATCGTCTGATGGTTTTGTGACTCCAAGTCGCAGAGTTCCAAACGTGTTCATACAGGATGCCCTCTCAGATTTCGACCACGTCGAGCGACAAGTAGGGAACCCGAACGTTCTCAATTTTCTGGCTTGCCCGGATAGAGCGCTCATACCGTTTAATCCTATATACACTGACCGGAGACTGTGCATAGTAAATTGCGTCGAATAAGTACTTCGTAATGTTGGTGATGACCTTCTTGACTTATGTTTGTGTGGTAGTGGTTTTCGCCCAAACACATATTTAAGGCTTCTGTCAGTAATTTGGCCAAACCTGTGCCCCATGAAAATTAGCCCTTTTCACCTCAAACATATTTTATACGATTCCCGTCGAAGATGGAGAGCGCAAGAAATTCATTAATCGCAGAGCAGAAGAAATGCGTGGATCTTCAGGCCTTATTTATTGATTATGGAGACGGGACCTCCACCATGTTTTCCACCGAACAGCGAGCGAGCGTCTCAAATCGAGCGTATACGTGTATTTGGCTGGCAATCCAATGCGTGCTTGTAGTATCACTTCCTAATCTGTATTGTTTTAATGTTATTGTGACTTGCCAGTGCAGGCGGAGGATAGTCCCGACATTGTAGTGGGAGATGGTCTAGATGTAGAGCCAAATCTCGCTCACAGGAGTGTACTGGAGATAGGACTCCAGGTACACTAGCTGGCGGTTAGGAATTCAACAAGATAGTTCAGGGTTGAATTAGAAACGGGTTCTGGTTGAAGGCAACCAGAA